GCTTTGCAATTGCTTCATTATATATTTTATTTCGTTGGTGATTCCCCCTACACCTATGTGAATTGTGGGTTATTTTATAGTTATGTCGGGCTTTAGACCTATAATTTGCAAGTGCAAGATGAATTGATACCACAAATAGGAATAATGTTATTAGAGGTCTACCTGAAGCATGGTTAAGACCTGAAGTTGGGTGCAACGCTGGTTGAGTGTTTGCCTCGCTTATTTTAACACATTATTTCAGAAACGAAGGCGCTAAAATTTGTGCGTGAGGGCTCACAAGTGCTATGTTGAAAGGGGAAATACTTAACCAGTAACATAGTTGACAAAGTGATCTATTAATTGTTGAAGAAGCATAGTGGATAAGAAGGTTAGTGATTAGAAATTTAATATAAGAAAATTGGTCACTTTTCTGTATCAACTTAAAATTGCTTTCTTACTTCAAAATTATAAATTCCAAATGATTTCTTCAAAGCTGAGACATCCCCGAGGCTAGTTGCGCACGGTTCGAAACTTGGTGCGTAATGAGTCCACCCTTTACTCTTCTCCACTTAAATATTAGGATTTTATTTGTGGCAGGGCTCGAAACCGTGACGTTTGCTTAAGCACACATAATGTATTACACTCTTATTACTAGACTAAAGCCCCGGGGGAAAAATCTATGACAATATGTCTCACCCGATTGCAAAAATTTCAAATTCTTAGTCCAAATGATTCTTGGTTGTTTTTTGATTATCTTTTTTGCATTACATGTTTTTTTCATGTGTATCTATATATATATAATTTTTTTTGAAAAAGGTAACAATTATATTCTTCAGCACCCAAAAAGGGGCTGGTATCTGATATTTACAAGTACAACCCCTGAAAATCTTACAAAGAATCAAAAAGGTCTAGTAGTGATTCTAAATCATCTATCAACTGTTCTTTACACCAAATATAAAAAAGAGAAATACAAGAACTCTTGATTTTCTGTGTTGAACTGCTCTTGCCTTCAAAACATCTTGCATTCCTCTCCTTCCAAGCTGTCCACCATATGCAAGCTGGAATAATTTTCCACCATTCCTTGTGATAGGTTCTTCCCCTAATGCTGTTCCAGCTGCATATCAGGCCAATGGTGTCTTTAGGCATTACCCAAACAATACCAGCTAATGCTATAAAGAGCTGCCAAAGTTGTCTAGTAATAACACAATGTAAGAAAAGATGCTCATTGGTTTCATCTTCCTGTTGACATAGAAAGCATGTAGAGCTGGTCTGAATACCTCTTCTTTGAAGAATTTCTAAAGTGAGGCAGGCTTTCTTACCACTAACCATGAAAGCAGATAACTTTGAATGGTGCTTTGATCTTCCAAATCTTTTTCCAAGGCCGAGGATAGTTGGGGTGTCCTCTGGATGATAGATAGTTGTATGCTGCCTTGACTGTAAATTTAGAGCCCTTGCCTCCTTTCCATGTAAGAGAATCCTCCGCCTCACTTAATCATGCAAAACCTTCTAGCATTTTGAGAATCTCGGTAGCTCTAGTGACTTCCTAGTCATTGAGAAGCCTTCTGAAAATTAGGTTCCAGCCCTGGGAGCTCCAAGTTTCTTCTACCGTGGCATTAGGTGAAGTGGTAAGATTGAATAGATTAGGAAATAGATCTTTCAATGATTCATGACCAATCCAATCATCATGCCAACATGATACCATCCTCCCATTTCCTTTCCTAAAACGTGTGTTTGTTGTAAACTCCTCCCATAGATTGCTGATGGCTTTCCAGTTGCCAACTCCATAAGGAGTTATCACTGGTTTGGTGCTCCAGTGTCCTGACTGCTCATACCTGCAGTTGACAACTTATCTCCATAAGGCTTGCTTCTCAGTGTTGAATCTCCATAACCATTTCATTAATAGACTCTTGTTATGCAAACTTAAGTTTCTAATGCCTAGACCGCCAACTCTCTTGCTAGAGATGAGACTGTTCCAGTTAACAAGATGGGAGCCTTTGGACTCCCTGTTGCCTTCCCAAATAAAGTTCCTTCTCAGTTGGTCAATTCTTCTCCTTACTTTGGCTGGGATAGGAAATAAGGACATGATGTAGGTGGGTAGGGAGTCCAGGATAGAGCTCACTAAAATGATCCTTCCCCCTAGGGATAAGTATTGTGCTTTCCAGCTTGTAAGTCTCTTTTCACATTTATCAAGTACTCCTTCCCATATATCTGCAGCTTTGTTCTTGGAACCCAAAGATAATCCCAAATACTTAGTTGGTAAATTTCCTACTTCACAACCCAGAATGCCAGCTAGAATTGGACTGTTTGGAGCTGTATTAATAGGCACCAACATGCTCTTTCTCCAGTTAACATGAAGACTTGAGATACGTTCAAAGACTGTGAGAACCAACCTCAAATGCATTAGCTGGGCAGGTTCAGCGTCACAAAGAACCAGAGCATCATCTGCGTACAACAGATGCGAAATCTCCATGCTATTAATTCTGTTCGAAGTTCCTTCAAGCAACCACTGATAGTAGAGGCTCTCATCATGCTACTCAACCCTTCCATGGCTAAAATAAAGAGGAAAGGAGATAGAAGGTCTCTTTGCCTTAAACCCCTCATTGAAAAGAAGAAGCCTTCAGGAGATCCATTAATCAAGATAGAAAACTTCACTGTACTGATGCAAAAGAAGATCCATTTAAGCCATTTATTCCCAAAACCCATAACTTTCAGAATATTGTACCTCCAATTAACATGATCAAATGCCTTTTCGATATCTAATTTGCATAGAATCCCTGGTTTCTTCTCCTTCTGTCTACTATCAACACATTCATTAGTTATTAGGGCAGCATCCATGATCTGTCTTCCCTTGGTAAAAGCCATCTGATGCTTGTTCTCAATTTTATCTACCACCTTCTTAAGTCTTTCTGCTAGAGTCTTGGAAGTAATCTTGTAGATGCCCCCTATCAGACTAATTGGTTTGAAGTCTCAATTCCTACGCTCCACTCTCCTTGGGTATAAGCGCCACGTAGGTGGCATTTAAACTTTTCTCAAAAATTCCGAGAGAGTGAAAATTGGCCATAGTTTGTAGGATGTCGTCCTTCAAAATAATCCCAGCATGTAATGAAAAACCCCATCGAAAAACCATCAAGACCTGACGCTTTGTCAAAGGCACATAGCTTTATACTATGGAGAACTTCTTGTTCCTCAAAAGGTCTCTCCAGCCAACTTTGCTCCTCATCTGTAATTGAAGCAAAATTCTGAGGAGTAAAATTAGACCTCCAAGCTTCCATCTCAAAGTATGGTTGTTTATAAAAGGAGATGATTTCTCCTTTAAATTCTACTGGATCAATGACTTTTATCCCATTAATCTCCAACGTGTCTATGGTGTTGAATCTCCTATGTGCATTGGCCGTCTTGTGAAAGACTTTTGTGGTCTTATCACCCTGCTTTAACCATAGAATTCTTGATTTTTGCCTCCAGGGGGATTCTTCATATTTGGATATTTCCTCAAATTCCAAAGCAATGTTGGCTTTTTGTATCAGTTCATCATCAGTGAGGTTTCTTTGTTCCTGCAAAACATCAAGAATGGTTAGTTGGTTCAAAAGCTCTGTCTTCCTCTTTGCTAAATCCCCAAAGTTAGCAGCATTCCACTCCTTTAGTTTAGCTTTCAGGAGTTTCAGCTTTGTTGCTAAAATAAAGTCTGGGTGTCATTGTACTGCAAAAGATAACCACCAAGCTTTAACTAGATCTTTGAAGCCATCAACCTCCAACCACCAATTTACAAATTTAAAGTATGATGGTTTCCTTTGTTCCCAATCGCCACAAGTTAGCTTAATAGGACAATGATCAGAAGTGATTCTTGGCAGAGTAGACTGTCTAATATTCCTAAAGTGTTCATCCATTCAATGACAAAAAGAAATCTATCAATTCTCGAAGCAATTCCCTGATTGTTCCCTTTGTTCCAAGTGAAGGAACCCCCCAAAAGTGGTGGATCTACTAACTGCGGATCATTGATTGCGTCAGAGAAATCTCTCATAGCTCCGGTGAGACGGTGATTGTTGCTTCTTTCATTTGAGTGTCTGGTTGTGTTGAAATCCCCACAGACCACCCATGGCCCATTACAAAGTCCTCTTGAGGCTGCCAACTCCCACCATAAGTCTTGCCTCTCAATTCTGGAATTTGAGGCATATACCCCTGTGATGAACCATGAGAAATCTTGGTCTATTGCAGTCAATCTACAAGAGATACTCTGACTTTCAAAAATAATCAACTTCCCTTCTAGTATCCTTTTATCCCACATGATAAGAATTCCCCTACTAGTACCAATGGCTTCAAGGTTGACAAAATCCACCCATCTACTCCCCCATAAATGTCTGGCAACACGAGATATATCACCTTCCATCTTTGTTTCTGGAAGTACTACTACATCACTTCTCCATTCATTAGGAGCAGTTTTAATATAAGTCCTCCTTTTTCCCCATCATTTAATCCCCACAGGTTCCATGACAGTATGTGGATCTTCATTAATCAACTTTGAGTGTGCCTCTCCCCTGACCCTAGCTTGCCCATCTTTATATTTAATACCTGATTTAACCTCTCTAATTGCTTCTGACCTTTTGGTTTAATTGCAGTGTTGCTTTGGGTAGTGATATCTTCCATCTTCTTTTAAATATATTATTTATTATTTCTGCGTCTTTTTTTGCGATGCTTATATTTTAATGGGCTGCGCTTGAAGTTCCAGTAGACACTTGGCGCTTTATTATGCCTATTTCCTTTGACAACACTCAACTCTGCGCTAGCATTTCTTCAAAACCTGAGCTGGTAAAATTGGGTGAAGATATATAAATTCACAAAGAAATATAAAGAAAAAATTCGCTCAACTGTTCTTGAAGGCTCTTTTAATTCTGAAGTACCCTGATTTTTTCCCAAAAACTCAGGAGGCTTATCAAATTAATCCACTTTCTATTTCAAATAGATGTTGAAAATGTCTACTGGAAGGAGAAAATCGCATACCCTGATTTGTCTTTTTAATCATACAGTGTGATAATGGTGGATGAAGCCCACGAAAGGTCCCTCTCGACGGACATCTTATTGGGACTACTGAAAAAGGTTGATCACCAAGAACTCTAGACTGGTTATCATATTATCTTATCGTCTGAGTGCACTTATTTTATTTCTTCTCTCTTAAAATGTTATTGTTTCCTGTGGCTTCCACAAAATTTAGATTCAAAGGCGTCGTCCTGAGCTGCGTATTATAATATCATCGGCTACGATTGAAGCAAAATCAATGGCTGCTTTCTTTAATACCAGGTTTGTTATTCTTGTGATGAGTGTTTACTGAAGCTTTATAATTCTATACTCAAAAGTCAAAAGTCCCAATCTCCTGCCTGCTTTCCGTTGATGCAATTTCAGTTGAGAAGACAATCCCAACAGCTGATTTCTCTTTGCTATCTTTGTTTCATATATCTCCACTTTAAGATATATGAAACTTCATAGTGCTAGTTGGTAAATTAGTGAATGATGTTTCCTGCCTCTGTCTGTGTGCTTAGGATCTTACCCATGCTATTGAGAACGAAGACAGGAACTCTATGATAAAGATAGAAATGACTTTTGAAGAAGCATGTGGTAGATTAGTTGAACTGCTTATAGGAATGTTAATTTCATAGTTCTTAGTTTGATACCTTTTGACACTTCAATATCATGAAGTAAGAAACCTATTATTCCCACGCTCTTCTGAGTAACACTTGTTATTTTATGCTTCAACTTTCTAGCAGCATTTGATCCCTTTCTATACATCATAATTTCCTTCAGCATCATATTATTTCGTTCCAAAAATCAGTAATTGTGTTTTCATAAACAGCCACCTATCTTCTTTTAGTATCTAGGTTTAGTGTGCACTAAAACTTTTATATGTGACAAAATATTAGCAAAAAACGACGAGAGCAGGAGCAAGGACCAACAATAGAACCTGCTATTCTGTCAGTTGAGGTATGTGGATTTGTGATACAATTACTCTTTACAACTGCACAGCCAAAAATCAATAAAGTTGATTAACTGGATCAATTTGAGTTACAACAGGACTATAGAATCATTACGTATTCCGTGAAACATCTAGGTAGCGGATTTCGTTGGGGATTTTCTCTGGTTGATTTGCAACATTGCTGATATTATCTTTTTACACTGTGATCTTCCAGGGTAGGGGATTTAATGTGGAGATATTCTATGTTGATGATCCTGTTTCTGATTACGTTCGGGCCGTTATTTCTACAGTGTTGTCGATCCATGACCAGGTACACACTAACTAGATCATGACTTCTTTGATCTATTTGGCCACATCATGGTCAAATGTAAATTTGAGGCAAATTTGCAAGCACATGGTAAATAAATTTCCAAAGACCCATTTAAGTTTAGGGGGTTGGCCTACTCAGACATATTTTGGTGCAGAAACACAGTCCTGTTTCATTTGTCCACAATGTGTTCCATGTGGCCTCCTAGAGTGAATGTCTTTGAATGAGATAATGATTGAAATTCGTGATGTCTCAAAATTTCTACCTAGTCTAATAATTTATCTTTGAGTTCATCAGGATAACTTTCCTACGATTTGTCTCTTATTTGACTCTTAATGTGCTATCATACAGCAGTTGACTTATGGCTCTTCATTTATTCTTATTAGGAGCGGACGGGAGATATCTTGGTGTTTCTCACTGGTCAAGATGATATTGATGCTGCAATACAGTTGCTCACCGAAGAAGCCCAAAGTAGTGGGAAGCAAGGTACTGAATAATTCCCTTAGCTATTGCTTTGTGTTAATAGTACTGCTAAGTGATAAATAATAGAGAAGTGGTTGTAGATAAACACAGTGCCTTTTCTCAACAATAACAACAACAACAACTACCCAGTATAGTCCCACAAAGTGGGGTCTGGGGAGGGTAATATGTAGACAGTCCTTACCCCTGACCGAAAAGGCAGAGAGGCTGTTTCCAATCGACCCTCGGCTCAGGGAAGGAAAGGAAAAACAAAAATAATAACAAAAACAAAAACAAAAACGAAAGAGCATTAATAACTGCAGTAGAAATAACATAAATAATTGTCTAAACATAAGAGCCATAAATAAAATGGCATGCAATAATATCAAACAGTAACTAAGATAAATAACTATCATAAGAGGACACAGTTCAATACATGAATCATCTATGGAGAGCCCCACCCAACCCCTGGAAAGGAGTACGAAAATTCTAGAGACCCCTATCCTACAACCCTGATACTAGACCTCCAGACTTTTCTATCAAGTGCCTTTTCTCAAAACAAAGAAAATAAAAAAAGGGATACATACCAATTTTTTTTGATTTACTTTTCTTGCAGGACTGGTTGCTGTGCCACTATACTCGGGGCTTCCTCGAGCAGATCAGGTGGGGTTATGCATCATGCAGTTTTTAGGTTAAGATTTGTTGAACTTTTCACCAAATAGTTCTGTTTTATCTTGATTACAGGATCTTGTGTTTTCCCCTACTCCTAGAGGAAAAAGAAAAGTGATATTTTCAACGAATATTGCTGAGACGTCATTGACTTTAGAGGTATAAATCTGAAACTTTGGGGTCAAAATCTGTGAGGCATACATGTTATTAGGTTTTTCATTACATTCCTGATTCCTGAGCTGAGAATTTTCATTCTGCGTTCAGGGAATTGTCTATGTCGTTGATAGTGGGTTCTCAAAACAACGGTTCTACAACCCGGTACTTGTTTCTCTCTGTTTAACTTAACTCTTTTCCCATGCTTTTGATCAGTCTGTTGTGGTTGATGACATTGCTGCTATTTTGTTTAATATCTGCACATACGTCGGTTTTGGGCCTCATTTAGTCGCAATTTTCTAAGTCTTTATCTGGATTTGTGCACCAAGTATCAGTATTGTCATATTTTACATGCAATACCTGTTTCCAGATCATTACTCCTGTCTGTACCTTCCTAGAAACTTGTATAATAAGTTTGTTTTGTGTAAGCTTGAATTTTTTATCCCTAAGACCCTCATTCTTCCTGTTGGTCACTTTGCTCCTATCTGGATGGATGCTCAAAGCATGCTTTTGATGATCAAACGTGGAAGATAATTTAATCTGTCACTATGAAGCATCATGTTCTATATGTTGGACTCTGGCTTCTTCTGAGGAAAACTCTATATTTTTTTGTATTGAGCTTTCCTCAATTCTGTTGCTTCGGTTTCTGGTAATTACGGCATAAAGAATGCAATTTACACGAACGAAAAGATAATTCAATGTATGCATGTCATGCCTGATATTGCATTTTCATTTCGGATCTGTTCTACATCAGATTTCAGATATTGAGAATTTGGTAGTGGCACCAATATCGAAGGCATCTGCTCGACAAAGGGCTGGTAGAGCTGGAAGAGTTCGACCTGGGAAGTGTTTTAGGTAGGTGCCTTACCACATATAATAATGTGAAACTTACCCTTAGAATCACAATGAAAGGATACATATCATTATATAATAATTGATTTCTCCGAAGCTTAACACTCCCTAAGTTCCAAATTGTTAGTATATCATATCTCCAGTTTGGTTTGGGCCTAATTAATCTTTGCATTGCTGACATGGAATACATATTATGTATGTAACAATCATTCTTGTGCTAATCAACAGGTAAATAAACTAAAATAAACCTATCATCTCACTTTTCTGCATGTGAAACAATTCATGTATTAAATTCCAAACTCAATGAGTTATTCGGTTTAACTTTTCCTGATATTGATAATTCAAACCATATAGCATTTTTTATCCTAATTTAATGAATTAGCATCTTACTGTTTTTTCCTTCTATCATAGATCTCAGTTGGTGAATAAAATCACCTTATTCATGTCATTAATTCTGTTGTTAGATGACTATGTTTAATTAGGAAGAAGTAAATTCTTAATTTGTCTCTACTCCTGGAATGTTTATAAATACCTTTCCATTTAAGAAATATAATTGCTGACTCTTCTATTTTGCTGTTCAGGCTCTACACAGAAGATTATTTTGCCAGTGAGATGTCTATTGTGGGAATACCGGAGATACAGAGATCAAACCTTGTTTCCTGTGTCATCCAGGTATGCCTTTCTTGAACAAGAAGATGCTAGTGCCGTGCTTTTCCTTTATGACTTTTTTTCCTGAGGCGTGGTTCTGTAAATACGACCTTATTAGGGAGGCTGGGTAAATCATCTGCCTTGGAAAAATTTCATTCTTTTTTTTTCTTCTTCTTGTAACCGAGAAATCGCCGAGGATCAATGGTGCACAGTTTGAAACTCGGTGGTTGCTTAATCGTACTCCTAACCTTTGCATCTTTAAATTTCTAGTAAATGTTCTATCAACTACTCAACTTTCTCTTTCTGTATGTAGGGCATGTTTGAGTATTGTTATGTTGCCTTTACTATGACTTTCTTCGTTTTATCTCCTTTGTAGAGTTAAATCTTCAAATCCAAGTCTCATCCTATTACTTCAGCCTGTCAGGATGTGTTGGATATTAGCTAACATCATTTCTTTTCACTGTCCCAGTTGAAGGCCTTAGGTATTGATAATATCTTGGGTTTTGATTGGCCAGCTTCTCCATCACCTGAAGCGATGATAAGAGCGCTTGAAATACTGTACTCACTTGGAGTATTAGATGACGATGCCAAACTTACTTCACCTACTGGGTTTCAAGTTGCAGAGTTTCCACTGGTATGTTTCTAATTGGCCATCTCATATGCACCATAAAATTTCCTCATGTGTTTCTTATTTGCTGTTCAGCAAAACTTTTTTCAGTTCTAGTAATATTACTTGCAAGTTGGATTCTTCCCGTCAAATTTACAATTCTATTAGCCTTTTATGACACTTCTCACCAAACACTACCTCTCTCCCCCCATTCACCAATAAAGGATAAAAGAAATCCATCATACAAGAGTAATGACCAAGGACTATTTATGCATTTACAAAAAGTAAAGTAGCGCCTAGGGGTGTGGCCTAGCGGTCAATGAAATGAGATGAGAATCATAGGAGACCCGGGTTCAAATCCCAACAGAGGTAAAAAATGCTAGGTGACTTTTTCCTATTTGCCTAAGTCTTGGTGGGCAAAGTTACCCCTATAACTGTGTTGGTGGAAGGTAGCAGGTACCTAGAGTAAACTAAACACACACCATTATAAAAAAAAAAAAGAAGCAAGGGACTAGGTAAAGTATGGAGGGCAAGTTTCATAGATCTCATCATCATCATCTATCGACATGAGTGTGCCCAAACCATGCCCTGTACTTAGGAGTAAATGTTATGGTAACTTATTGTTGCCTTTTTCTATTCGTTAATTTCACTATGATCATTGAAAATAACCACCAAATCAATCTATTATGGTCTACGCTTCACACCCATGCTAGTTGAGGTCATCTGCATAAATTATTTATTGTCATTCCACTCTTATTGAGCTTGATTTCATTCCAATACTAAAAATTCGGGATTCTCTAAAAACTAAGGTTATCTAATTTTTTTTTTTGATGAAGTAAATTATATTCATCAGAAGACATCAAGAAAATGCGAAGAGTACAAAAGAGATTGGATAATCAGCTCTAGTACAAAAGCCTATGCTACTATCAGGGAGCTAATAAAATCTACAAAAATAGCTGTTAACAGGGGTGAGATAGTTCCAACTGAGCAGATTAACAGAGTCTTGAAGGAGTAGATTGGAGTTGAAATGCTATCAAAACACCTTCGGTTCTTTCTTCCCAGATACACCAAAAAATTACTACTGGCACCATTTTCCAGAATTTCATGCTTATTCTTATGTGGCTATACATATCTCTAACAATAATAAGTAGACTCGTGATAGACACCGAGATTCAATATATATA